CCCCTCAGACAAAGTGCTTCTTGTGCAGTCGGAGGCGCATCAATGCCAATAGTACCTCGTGCGACAACGGAAAACGGCTTTCAAAATAAAAGCACACGCGATCCTTACGGCTCACGCTTGTCCACTTTTCCCCTGCACCTAGCAAGCTGAGAAGGACCTGAACACAATTTAGCTTTGAATTTTATTGAAATTATTTTATTAAAGTATCTGCTCTAACACAACATATAGATAAAATCATGGATAAATAGCTCTTCCAGCACGTCATGTTTATTTAGGGATAACCCAAACAGTAGATGTTATATAAGTTAATCACATAACCCTTTTTAATGGTTTTATGGCCTCTGTCGTTGTAATGCAACCTTTGTAGTAGATTTTCTCCTCTTGCTGGAAGTTCCTTTTTGCCCTTTAAAATGTTCCAACAAATCTTCTTACTGTTGGAGTGCCACGTTTCTCTCTCTACAAATCTACAAATATATAAAGCAAAATCAACTTTGGTTTAGTCCTGACTAAATATTTAACAGTATATTTACGCATGCCGCACTGTAGAGCATGCTGAGCAAAGGCTTTTGATGTTTTTATGTGCAAACATGCAACCGAGGAGCACATGGAATATTATAAGATTATAATGCTTCTAGGCGTGCAGTGCATTCTGCCAGACCATATAACACACTCACATAATGTCAATAAAAAAGGGGGAATAAATTCAAATCTTAAATTTGCAAATGTGTCGATAAAGCAGTGCCATAAAACACATGCCTTAGAGCATATTGTGTAATCTTGTATCTGTTATGATAGCAGTTACAGGTCTTAATCAGTTTTACATGAAAAATATGCTATTCTAATCCCATATAAGAAGGTGAAGCTGAAGGTACTGTCCTTTTAACACTAAAATGTTAGCTGTCAACCTTAATGTTAAACATTCTGGCTTAAAGAGCAGATAAACACATCAAAATCCAAAGAAGACTTCTTATCTCAAGGAGCTGGAACCTCAGCGGAGCGTGCGACTCCAAAGTTTGCTGTACGAAGTTTAACCATCAGCGCTTTCTTCTTTGGACTTGCCTTGAAACATTTTTCGATTATTAGGCACTATCTTGATGATTGATTTCATAAAGTAAAAGGCACAGCATCCACATGCTACTGTAATATTCACTGAAAGGCTTCTGCTAAGTAATTTAGATTCCTACTGTGACAAGTGACTGTTTATAATATTACCTGTACATTTTTTTTAAATCTTTTGACTTTTCTTTTACAGCATATTTCAACATATTTCTCCAAGTTTCTTGAGTGAGAGTCTTTATTTTAAAGATCCTGCTTCAGAGTCACGTCTGTATTACCGCTGACTTGTCAATGACTGACGCGTAAAAGCAAGCATCTTCTCTGATGTGAATCGCTGTCGCCCCCTGCCGGACATCTCCTGCACAAGCGAAATAGGATTTCACATGAGACGCTGGTGCAGCTGTGAGATTACCACACCTCAACGCCACACTAAAGCCACTTTGCGATCTCATTTTAATCCAGACTTAACCATCTTCAGACGATTGCTTTACAACAAAAAAGTCCCATTTTTGCCATGTGCCCAGGATTTTTCTTTTGAGTTGGACTGTACCTGCAGCTGCAGTATAACCTCCTGTGTGAACCTTCGCTATGTAACTGCTTTATCCCCCCCAGAATAATCCGGTGTGTGGGCGTAGGCATACCAGATTTTCAGTAACTTGAATTTTTTAACTTTGCTTCCAGCTGTGCTTTCTCTCAGGATGCCTCTTTGACCCTGCCAGTTATGAGATACTTATAAGGGAACTCAAGACAAGGCACTTATATATTAAAAAAAGATACTAAAAATACACAAGAAAGAAAAAAGAGCCTCACAAATGTTTCTTATCAGAGTGTAGCTTGATAAGGGAAATGATGTGATAGCATCACACAACTGCTGCAGATTCGTGAGCCGTACACGTCCATGATGTGAGCCTGCTCATCCACGACATCCCAAAGGTGTTCTTTTGGATCGAAATCTGGTGACTGTGGAGGCATGGTCAGCAAAAATAGTCAGGAGGGCTGGGGCATTCAAATAATGCTCATTTGACACGAACACACCCAAAGTCCCAGGACGATTACATCTCCACCTCCAGTCTGAACAATTGATAAAGGGCAGGTGGTTTCATACTGGCATGCAGTTTATGTCAAAATCTGACCCCACAAACTCAAACATTTTTTCCAATCTTCTATTAACCAGTTTTGGTGGGGTCAATGTAAACTGTGTAAACTGTGCCCTCCGTTTTGTGTTCCTAACTGACAACAGTGTGGTTTTTCTATTGCTGTAGCCCATGTGCTTCAAGGTTTGAAGTGTTTGTGCCTTCAGATAAGCTCTTCTGCATACCTTGGTTGTAACAAGCGGTTATTTGAGGTACTGTCATTTTGGCTTGAAAAGTCTGCGCATTAGCTTCTGACATCTAGTATTAAGAAAGCATTTTTTTCTAGTGGACTGTTCTTCATTTCCTGTTTTTTTATGTGCCTGTTTTTGACGCACCCTCTGGAAACCCTAGAGAGGTTCATGTGGGGAAAATCAGCAGTTTCTGAAATAGTCAGACCAGACCATCTGGTGCCAATAACCACGGTCAAAGTCACTTAAATGGTATTCCCTCATTCTGATGCTCAAGTTTAATACATGATTATTAAAATAACTCAAAGTTGTACTTTAGGGCTGTAAATGAAAAAAAAAATTACTTTCATTTTGTTTTTCCTAAAAAGTAGTACATTTGATACACAATACACACGATAACTTAACTTGTTATGTCATGACCATGGGTTCAGGTGGACTATGGAACATATGACAAATACAACAAATGCAAAATATAACTTTAAATATCTTCTTTAAATTCAAAAAAATAATTTTCCATTTGTTCTTTCCTTTAAGCCCAAAAGTAACTGACCTATTTGTGAAAGCAGCACCAGTAGAAAGTGCATTACAAGCAGTTCCCCGATACCAAGGCCTGCCTAGTTTTCTTTTTGGGTGCCCGTGTGCCTGTGCAAAGACAGGAGGGAGTTGGGTTGCATCAGAAATAGCGCTCCCACCTGCTGAGGATCACTGGAAAAAAAATATGACAGGACATTTGTTGTCCCCTTCATCTTCTTCCTTTTACTGACACTCGTTACACACTGAGGTATTGTCTCTTTAGCTTGCCCACCGCTGAAAGCAGTGTACTGCTAATATGACAGATAAGTTGGTAGTGTATGCCATAAGAATATTTACTGGCACAAAAAAACCCAAGCTCTTAGAGTTATGTTGTCTATGAATTTAATGGAAATTATTGGGGTAAAATGATTCAAATACAAGCTGACGTAAGATATATATTGATTTAATTTAAAAATTGCAAAGACAAAGAAGTTTGAGATGTAACAAACTGAACAATAATACTGGCAAGCAATCTTCAGATTTCTAGCAATGAATATTTAATACTCTATCTTGAACTTAAGAGCTGCTGAATGCACTGCTCTTAAAGCCACAGAATGCAAAACTCATCCGCGATACTAAACTTGAATGGTATTATGTGGTCGGTCTATAATGGCGTTACAGTGAAGTCAAGTAGGGTCAGAAGGAACCATGTCTGACAGGCTCATCTTTTAGCTGACAGATATTCTCACTAATTTTCACAATGATTTCTAATCTGTGAGAAGCCTTCAAGAGAGCAAAGGAGCATTGACTGTTCCATGTAACATGTGGCTCTATATGAAGATGCCCTTTGTAGCTAATGCTCAGTTTACCAAAAACACCTTAGCGCTTGCATCAGTTTTATTCCAGTATAAGCCACTGGAAAGATTAGAAACTTGATGCTCAGGGGTTAAGTGATTTGCAAGAAGAGTCAGCGCTCAGGTCAAGATTAGCGCTCATACTCTGGAGTCTTTGTAAAGTCGTGCCAAAGAATTGTTGACAGTAGATGTTTGTGTTTTGAAATCTTTGTATATGCGCCTTCTTCAGCTTTGAGCAACTGCCTTGCTTTTTAATGTAGTTTATTTAAAGAGTGTGCACTGTTGGGATTTCTTTGACTGTTTTGGTAATTCTCACAGAAAGAATTTGTCATTTTTTCAAATGTCACTGAAAAATGACCCTAAAATGAAACAACAAATATTTTGAAACTCTGACTTTTCTACACCAAGATGCTCATTTCACCCCAGGAAATGAATGGCTGTTACATGCCTTGTCACACAGCAGATTTTTCCTGTCTTTACCAACTTCCAGTTTCCATTTCCTGAAAATTTTAAAGGACAGCATGTTGCTTTGAAAGCTGTATCCAGCATTAACAAGGTCTTGACCATTTGTGCTTGCAGTGATTTTTGCTTTCTACAAGGCTTTTAGAAGTGTTCCTGAGCTCATACAGTCATACGCACAGAGATTTCTCTGGAGTCTGTAAACCGTTTAGTCATGTAAAGACCTTGGATAAGAAAACCCCAGATTCTTTGCAACTGTCTGTAAAAAGAAAAAAAAATGAATTAAACTCTGTTTTTTCACTGTACCTGCAGTAAACCTTACCGCATGTGTTGACACAGCTAACTCGGTTAAAAGCAGAGTACAATGGTGAAGAGGCCTGATCTATTCTTAGAGTATGATTGTCTGCATTGGCTAGCCCCAGTAAAGGCTTTAGGTTTCTCATAAACAGCATATTTATTACTGAGAGAATCTCTTTAGCTATAATGAATTGATGTAATTGCTTAGGTTATATAGCTACTGGCTTCACCAACATAGAAGAATTGGCAAGCTTTCGAATGTCCTTTTTATGAGAACTTATAATAATGACAATATTTGTTACTAATATATCAGCTTGTGAATTTTTCCAATTATTCCAATTGGGAAAAATGATAACATTTCAAATGCTGATCTCTAGACAATACCATTAAGGCAATGCTACGGATTTATTATTACACTTTCCTTGTGTTGTCAGTGTCAGGGGAGGTGATATTTAGTGCTTGGTCTCTTGCCAGCACATTCTTGGGACCAGACGTTATATCTGCTGTCCACTCGCCATCAACCCCACATAAAAAGCTGCCCATTGTCTTCAGCAGCTGCCGTTTGACTCTCTTCACCTCCACAGACGCTCATTTACAGGTAAAAGAACAGATGCTATATTGTGTGTTTTACCTAGTTAAGGTTTCTCAGAATATTGCCAGAGTGACTAACAAGAAGGTACTAATATAATTTTAATTTTCTTACAAGATTAGAGCAGAAAATATAAAAAGTAAATAGATTTTGTAGACAATAAGACAGTGCTTAGCCAGTGTTGTTTTGGTTAAAGCTGTACAATATAGTAATTTGTACATACTTGTACATAAATGCTGTCAACCTAACAAAGAGCTGATCTTAAAAATCTGTGTGCAGCTGCTGCTGTCTGGCTTTGCTTTTTTTTGTCAGAACAAATGTTGCAGCTGATGTATTCGCTTAACAAATGTGCTGAGCTGTCATTAGTTAAACTGTAAAAAATACAGAATGAAAAAATTAATATTTGGGATGACGATCAACATGATGGAGTAAATACATGGTTAATTTTCAGTGTAGTTTAATGGGATGACATATTACACCAAAACATGACTAATACTAATAATAATAAACTTTCTTTTCTTCCATGTGTTTGTTTCTGCTCAAGAAGTTGAAGTGAGGTAAGAAAATTCCTTTTATGCCTGCTGTATGGTTCATATTTGTGAAAATGTTTTTTAAGGGAAAGTTGTGCTCGCTTCCTAAAAGGATAAGAATAGATAATGCACTCATGTAAACCTGCCGTTGCCTTTAAGATCATCGTCCTCATGTGTTCCTGCTTGCTGTTTCAGGAGCACGACAGATCCAGAACGATGAATCCCAGAGGGGAAAAGGTGAGCCAGCTATATTCCACAGTGTTAATCCTCCATGCATGGACAGGGGACACATTGTCCTTGCACACATGGCAAAGATGTGACAGTGGTTATCTGTCAGAATTGTTATCTGCATCCCTGAGAGCTTTCCCCTTGACTTCATCCTAATAATAAAGCGTTATCTTTTTATGTGTGACTGCAGTAAGTGGAGTCAAGTTTGACACTCGCAGGTCTTTCCATACAATGTGCAATGTTTAATTTTAGTTGAAAGATACAGTGTACTTTGTTAGCCTTTTATTTACTGTACTCGACACTGTAAATATCACCTTACAGACCTAAATAATCAATATTTGATTTAGAATCACTGAGCTGATTGTGCTTTGGCTTTCTCCACAGCCGAAGTCGAAGATTTCGGCTTCTCGCAAGCTCTCCCTCAAAGTGAGTTGCCTTTACACACCTTTTTTTGTTTGCTATATATCCCCATGAAAACAAAACTTGATATTAATTTAATACTATTTTATATAAGAACAATATGACGAGCCATGCACATGCTGCAAGTTTCATTGACTCTTAGTGCACACTTGACTCACTGCCATATAACATAATACATACTGTTTATGAAAACCAACATAAATTATCATTTTTGTCACGGTCAGACTAAAACTTCCTCGTCCTGTGATTGATACCCATTTGTGTCCAATCAGATGCTGCTCCTCACAAGAGCCTGTGAGGATTTGGAGAAGGAGAGGCAAGAGAGGGAGGAGGAGAAAGTACGCTATTTAGGAGAAAAGTTGCCTCCGTTGCAACTGTCTGGAAAGTCCCTGCAAGAACTACAAGTAAGCTCTCTAAAGCCACAAAAGACCAGCTTTTGTAAAGCAGAAAATATAATAATATTAATGTTATCAATATCTGATCTTTTAGGAACTGTGCAAGCAGCTTCATACAAAAATTGATATTGTGGATGAGGAGAGATATGACTGTGAATCCAAAGTGAGCAAGCATAACAAAGATGTAAGTCTCTTTTATCCTCCAGACCTCTGCATATCCTTTGTATCTGTAAAATGTCTGCATTGAAATTGGGGGCTAAATTCTCTATTAACTGTATATTTAGGTCAAACCAGAACAGGCCGGCCAATATAACAGAAAGACATTACTCAAATATTATTGCAGCACTTTTACACTATGTACTCTCCTAAAAAACTAAAGAATAAGGAGACAAAGTGAGCTTTTTCTTCCTGTTTCTGTTTTTTTCATACATTTTGCGTCATAATGCTTTAGATCCATGAGCTGAAGCTGAAGGTACAGGACCTTGGGGGCAAGTTCAAAAAGCCTGCCCTGCGAAAAGTGAGGGTGTCAGCAGACGAGATGATGAGAGCCCTCCTGGGCTCCAAACACAAAGGTTCAATGGACCTCAGAGCCAACCTCAAGTCTGTGAAGAAAGAGGATGTGAAACAGGACAAGGTACCAGAATCACCACTCTCACGTCTTAGCTCCTAATCTCTTGTGTTTCTCAGTATCAAAACATTTTTTTCTGAATTTTTATTTCTTTTTTCCCGGTTCTCTTCATTCTCAGGTGCTTACCAGTGAAGTAGGCGACTGGCGTAAGAATGTGGAGGCCATGTCAGGTATGGAGGGCCGTAAGAAGATGTTCGACACAGGCGGCGGAGCACAGTGAGATCACCTCTGAAAGCAGGAAAAGTTAAGCTGTCTAGACAGAAAAAGTGGAATACCTAATGGGAGACAAATTGACCCAAAAGCTGCTGGAGTTTAGTTTGAGGTAAAAGCAAGTATAAATCCCACCTGTGCTGCATTTTACCTGATAGTCACTCAGTTTAACAACTCAATGCACTTAAAGTGTAAAATAAAAGTGTAGAAGCCCATGTTTTGTTTTGTTTTTGTTACCAAAGAATATTTTGTTTTGTTATGTCACCTTAAGACAATTAAAGAGGATTTAAATGAACACATATTGTTTCCATCGGTGATGTTCCATATCTGTACTTGACTTTATCGTGTTTCATTTTATTGGCACCAGAAGGATTATGTGTGGCACGTCAAAGGACGGCAAGCAGCTTGGCTGTTGATGGATTTAAAAAGAAAGATGAAAAGTGAAGGGAGGGGGAACAACAGGTGGCAGTTGCATTCTGTGTATCTGTTTCAGTGTTTTAAATAGACCTTGTGTGAAAGCAAAAGATTGTGTTTAAAGTAAACTCAAAGCAAATGAATAAAAAATTTTAAAAAAAGGCTCCTTTTTTAAAATTGTTTTTTCAACTTGGAAATAATTTTGCTTTCGACATACAGTAGCATTTAATAATTGGAAAAAGCAAGTTTAACAGGGATTCATTATGACAAGTAACATTTAAAGCAGTTTAATGGCAGAAGTAAAACAAAGAGGCTTTTCCAGCACATGTTCCACCTTAGACTTTGACAGAATATATTCAGCCATGATGTCATCTTCTATAAATCAAAGCTCCAGAAAGCTTCAGAAGCCCACTAACACTGCCATCCTAGACATTTCATGCATTCATGCACTGCTTCTTTGTTTGACTGGGTTGTCTGGTTGCTGAAAGCCAGACATTGTTATCTGAGGCGTGACAGTAACACCAGTAATAGCTTCATGACTTCTGGAAGTGGTGAGTCTGTTTTTATACTTTTATGGACTAGAAACATCTGTGTGTGTTTTAAATAAAGCTGATAGGGCTGCACGCAGCATATCAGTGTTGCGTGTAAAGGACAGCTGACACTTTATGTTGTTAAAGAGCTGTTTTATAATGGTTTCTACATTTAAACTAATCTTATAAAATCAAAACAAATCAACAAACAAAACAAACAGGCTTAAATTCTCTGTCTATGTAAAGGAACAGACAGTGCCTATTTTCATATACCACAAATGTTGACAGCCGACTTGTCAGCACCACATATTGATGACTGTTAAGTGCAAAGGTCAGAAAGCTTTTTGAGCACTTTTGAAATCATCCAAGCATTAGTCATGGCTCATGTTAGCACGTTTGTGCCGCTTGCACTTCATTATCAGCGCCACTTGGTGGCAGCTCACAACAGCATTAATAAATCCGCTGCTGGGAAAAGTAATTACTGCTTTGAAAATTTACTTGAAACTAAATTGACATATTCTCATTCAAAAATCTATTATTGTTAATAAGGTTTCTAAACAACTGGTGAATATTATGTACATTAAAGGCTTAATACAGTTAATAAATACAATGCAGAAAGCTTAAAAAATACTATTAGCACTAATATATAATTAATTTGTAATATAATTGATGTCACCTATACATGACATTAATTTTATTCTAAAGTAGCAGCCCCCAACCTTTTTTGCGCCACGGACCGGTTTGTGTCTGACAATATTTTCACAGCCTGGCTTTTAAGGTGTCACGGATAAATACAACAAAATAAAACTAGTACCGGTACCAAAAAAGAAGATTTATTCATAACAGATGATAAAAACGATTGAAAAAAATAACGATAAAAAGCGACAAAAACCCATAAAAAACATAAATTTCCCGCCCGAGCGTCAGCTCTCGCGGCCCGGTACCAAACAACTCACAGACTGGTACCGTGGCCCGGGGGTTGGAGACCGGTTTTCTAAAGTGTGGTGGTGGTGCCAGGAATAAGCTTAGACTAATCATGACTAGTCTATCCTCATTCCATGTCTTTGGGGAATGCGGCTCAGGTCCTGCCCATGGCTCACATCTCTGTGATTCTGGATTACGTCAATGAAACTAGCCTAACTTAAAGAAACTTCCCACTATTTCACATGTTCTTCTACAGAGTAAAATACAGTTCGTAAGTTCTAAGATGGAAGTAGCAGAGCCTGACAATAAATAATTACTCTTGTGGCTCTAAGCAGTGCCAGTTCATTTCACTCACAGAATAACCCAAAGGAAAAGAAAAAATGAGCGTTAATCTGCAAAAAAAATAAAATGCCAGTGCTGATTACAGTGTCTGCAATGTGTATGTGCGTGTGGCCTGATGAGGAGGTATGATTGATGCCATTAATCTTCAACATAAAGCACAAGCGTTGCATTTATTGCTGCAGGGACCAGGGGTGGGTTGACGGTAACAGAGGGTGGTCTGATGATTAGACACACTGCCCTATGACAGAGACTCTCAGGCTCAGTTCTTTGTATGAAGTCTTGTCTAAGTTTCTTTCAGCGGTATGGCACATTCAGCCCACAGGCCACGGAAAAGCACTTTGTACTAAAGATAAAACATCATGAAATTTTATTATCAGCCAGTACCTTGTTGCAACTACTCAATAACTGGAAAGAAAAACAAAATGCAAAAAGTCAGTGAGAGTAGGCTGAATTGAAGGCAGTGTGATCAATAAGCAAGGCGACAGTCTGGAACTCTGGGACAGAAAGAATCAGACAAACAATCCAGACAACTGGGAGGACGGTAACAGACAAGCAGGTTTTAATAAAACAGCGGTAGCTTATACTGAACTGCGGTAGCTTATACTGAACTGCGGTAGCTTATACTGAACTGAAAGACTGTAAGAATGTGCAGATGCTTTGGAAATAGGAAGCATGGAGGTGAGCTATAAAGTTGCACTTAATAACCTAATAAAGTGTACTATCCACCTGGTGTGAAGCTGGTTAGCTGGGTAACAGTTAAACTAATGAGGAAAGACAATGATCTGGAAAGTTTTATGAGGAACACAAAACCTTTGGAGAAGTAGAAATGCCTACAGGCTCTGAAATTTCACTTATTCCAAATCAAACTGTGCAACTTGGATTTAATAAACTTGGGCACAGCATCAAGCTTTACGTAAGTAGACTGCACAATGATAGCAAATCATAGGCTGCACTGCATATATAAATTTTAAATACCACAGGAATCACAAATAAACCATCAGCCTGAGAGAGAAGCGGGCTGTTATAATACTATAAGGTCTTTAAGACAGGATAGGGATTGGTGGATTGATAGATGTAGGTCAACTCTGTCCTTTTCTTTTGTTCCAGGCCAATTTTGTTAGTGAAACTTTTAAAAGGCAGGCCTTAAAGCCTCTCTCACAATGCGACATAACGCCAGATATTTGTCTGTCTAATACAGCCTTAAATCAGGGAACACCTGCCTTTTTGGTTTTATTTGTTTTTACTGTATTTATCTCAAGGTTATCATTTTGCCTTTCTCATAAGGTTGTCTTGTGTTTTGTGTCTTAAGTGGCCCCAAAGTGTAAACATTTTACATACAAAGTTATCAGTCAGTCACTGAATTTAGGGTTGCAACATTTACTCATAGCAAAGCAAAAAAGTGTTTTAAATATTTTTTTATTCATTTAAATCACCATTTCAACTTTCTCCCATTCCTTTGAGGGTGCAAACTAGCAACCTTCCTTTATGTAAAGCCCATTTCTTTAGCTTCTGGTCTTCTGCTGCACTAACTAGAAGCTGTATATATTCATAGCTTCCTGGGGTGATGTGTCAAATAAGCAGCTTGAGGCAAATCCTGTTTCTTTTCTAAACGATAGTCTATATTTGGAGGTAATGACACAGAAAAGCAGCTTTAATGTAGAATTAAACTTGTGGATTCAAGGGTTTAAATGGACATAAAAATACACGCACATACTTGGGCAAACTGCACCGTGTGCCCCTCAGTCAAAAAAAGTATTAAGGATATAGGACCTGGCCATGCTGTCGTCACTGAGTCAAAGTCTTCATATGCTAAAGTATTCTGGCGTTAAATAAAAAAAAAAAACATTTATGGGTACTTAACTGTGAAAAAACAAAAGAGGTTAAAGCACTGCATTGATGAGAACAACTTGCAGACTGTGTATAAAAGATAGATATAGCTTTTTGTCTATTAGTTTATGGATTTCCAGGCCTCAGTTTGAGCTTTATGGCCATTTCCATTGTTTTTTGACTCGGAAGTGACCATATTTAGTTTGGTTTTTAGAAATAACCATATGAAAAACCATATTATATGTCAGCCAGTTGGATTAAAAAGCTACCAAAGGCACTAAGAGCACTGTTAGCCGAGGTAATGCCTATCATTCAGCTATGCATCGGAAGGCAACTGTCAGTAAATTCAAAGCTTAGTAAAGTTCACAGGTGTGTTTCATAAATTCGCCCTTCACAAATAAGTATATTGTCTGTAGACAAAAAAATAGTTATGAACCAGGCTGTAAACATGTTTACTGTATGTCTGCTGTAAAGTTGGGCAGTTTAACATGCTTTCCTTTTAATATATAGAAGAAAAGTTAAAGTTAGTCCACATTGATTTTCTTTAAATCTTTTTATGAATGCTTAGATATTTCATGAGGTTTCAGATGGGAGACATTAGAGAGACAAGAGTGAGAAGCCTTTTGTCACATCTGAGTATGTTATGTATTTATTTCATCTTCTATAAAGCTGTTTCAGGGCTGTTTCATCACCTTCAGCTGTTGTTCACAGCAGGCCATGCCTCGACCACCACACCCTTGGCGTGCTTTGGTCTGTCTTCGTTCCTGTTATATATTCACCGCACAACGAGAAAAAAAATCACAGAGGAAAGTGAGTCAATATCTGAAGCAGCTGCACACTTTTTCTCGTCTGCGACATGCAGAATTAATACACCTTTTAATGGACTCTTGGAATTTGTTTCTTTATATATTTTTAAAGAAAGAAAAAAAATCTTTATCTGTTCCCAGCAAAGATTTACAGTGCCACACAATGCAATATGTTTTCAGGGACTTATTAAGAAAGACCTTCAGAACATATTATCTCCACTAAATATAAGCAGCCATTGTACATCCAGCACATCCTCACTTTTCCTCCTGTCACTTGTAATGGTTTAGGTCCATCTACAATCCGTGCCTGCGGCCTTGCCGCCTTCTCACTATCGATCTCCTGTGAGCCAATAGGGAGGGAGAAGAGGCTGACGGGTATTGGTTTTGGACACCAAAGCTGGCCAGGAGTCAACAACATCCAGCCAATATAGATTCCTCTTCTTTTAATCAGGTGGAAGCTTTTGAAAGGCCTACAACTAAAATTGGAGTATCTACTATTTAACTTAAGGAGACAGTTCTGATAACATATATTGGTTTAATTGAGTTTTATTTAATTTTATGCAATAAAGTGTCAGCTTTATTTGAGACATTTTAAAATGAATGGAAATCTCTGGGAAACCTGACATTTGCTGCTGGATTCAAATCCCTGTGACACACAGGGAGAAACTTCACAGGCTGACTCTGCATTGCCTCAGGTCTCCTTGGAGCAACCGTGTGAACAGCCTGTCTCACA